AATTTGCTGAAAAGGTGTGCTACGGGAAAAGCACAAAAAGGATGGCAACCCACACTGGTCAATGGTGGCGAATGGGGTGTTCCAGGCTATCTACAACGGAAGTGAAAAAGAACCGACTCACTGAATTATATGTTTCCGTCCGCCCAGTATGAGAAATTATCATGGTAGTTTGTTCCGAACCTAACCTCTCAAATATGGAGGGGAGCTCGAAACTGATCTGACAGTTTCTCATACCTGAAAGGCGGCGGAGGCACGTGATTAGCTCTACCAATCAGAGCCATTACGGAAACAGAAGTCAGTGAGTTTCTTCTTTTCATACTTCACGATTGTAGTTGCCCCCTCAGATCTGCCCTAACTAGTAAAGGACGAGTATAGTTGACGTTCACGGTGTAGCTGGTGCACCCGTCAACTTGTTACTAAATAATATATGTAGCTTTTCTTGGAAGAGGGTGGGAGCCACGGTCTTCATGAGAACAGTGATGTTGTGCATGTCGCCACAACACTGGGGTGTCAAGCACCAATGTATTTCTCATCGAGAGGGTTTTGACTCGGAATTTTAGTATCTCTGCGCGGCATTACGCCGGTGCTTAAGAGGCTGCGCAACCTAAATTCTACCATTTTTGAGCACATTTTCCTATTTTTAGATATTGCACTACTACACTGTTAAAATGCTGTAAGGAAGTACAGTTCGATTACAGTCCGTCCTGTATATTCTATGTACAGGCCAGACTGTAATGATATGGGCTGTACTTCAGTGTCGAAGTCAAGTGCTGTATTGACCAAAAAGGCGGTTTGCGAAGTTACAGTACATCCTGTACGGAGTGGACTGTAATCAAAATTTGCAGTCGCTGGTCTAGTGACAAATTGACAGGACGTACTGTAGACATTTCCTGTAGGCTTTTTCAACAGTGAACGTTTCAGTTACATTGTATTACGCATTACAAAATGCATTTATCCTTACCTGTAACAGCGTCCAAGGAAACAGTTTTTCAGGTTCCGAACAACCAGCAGCGCTCAGAGTTGCGAGAAGCTCTTGGTGGTACCCCTCCAAAAGGCTGTCCCAGTGCAGGTCGCGCATCGGCTTTTCAGTGCAAACTAGTAAGATGGTGACGATGTCAAGCGCCGGAAGTCCGTACACAGACATCTGGAAGTCAATGAGGCGGCAATCCGTAACAGCGTTGGTGACCTGGACAGTGACATTGAAGTTGTTATTTGGTTGTGTCCAGTTCTAAGAAGCGTATCCTACTGACGATTCCAAACTGGATTTTATTAAAATATTTTGAAAACGTTTCAATGCTGTTCGAACGTTGGACCCTCGATTCAATGAAATGCGAATCGTGACAGTGTTTACAATGGTATGTCACAATCGTTAAAAAGTAACGAGGTTTGGCGTGACTACCTAGCATAGTTTTAAATGAACCCGTTCCCTGCGGCGTGACCACTATGTGGTCACGCTCCCATGTTAAATCGTAGGCATCGAAAATGAGCCGCAGGTAAAGTTTTGTACAATAGACCTTCTGAGCTGCTTGGAGCGCGTGAGCAGGCAACTCCTAGATTTCTCTTAAAATCGGACGCAATTCAAAACACGAAGAACACTTGCAGCTAGATTTTGTTACGCTGAATCCAAAAATGTGAATACTTTTGTCATTCAGCGACGTTTTTGGCGTATATTCGATTATAAGTGACTAAGCGCAACGGCTTGCGGTCCAGGCATAGTCCCTTAAAATAGAATATACGCCGAAATACGTCGCTGAATGACAAAAGTATTCACATTTTTGGATTCAGCGTTACGAAATCTAGCTGCAAGTGTTCTTCGTGTTTTGAATTGCGTCCGATTTTAAGAGAAATCTGGAATTGTAGCCAGTCAGTCTGCAACGTTGCTGTCCGATCGGCTCAGAAGGTCTATTTGCACTAGTTGTTGAAAACACTGTCATTAAAATACTGTGACGTTACACTCAATAGAATGTGAACTGTTTCACATTCCTCATGTCACATTCGTTGTAAGTGGTTCAGGCTGGGGAGAGTAGGGCACATTGGTCCGTTCATGTGACAATCTAGAAATTATTTTCTTTTGCCAAGTTTTAGTTTGGGTCTTACTTTGCCTCAGAAAATTGGTCGCAACACTTTTCTGTAGGAACAGACTGAGGAAAACCGAAACCCGCAGAGGCCTGTTCGTGGACCAAAGTGCCCGCCTGGGGCACACTGAGCTTAAGTAAAAAAGTTGCCGACCACACAACAACGGAAGCTTCATCCCGAACACAATTTGTGTGTGTGAGTGTTATTCTAAGAAGAACATACCAAGTGGAAACAAGATTTCAAAAAATTAAATGATTCAGTTGCAAGACGGCTCAAACTGCCCCAAGGGTAGCAAATTCTATCAATGGCTCGAAAAGATATCTGGATTGTCCTAACCAACCGGACACTAGGTGCAATATGTGCTAATATGTGCTAATAGAAAGTAGGCTTTTCCATAAAACTTGGTTTGCAACCGAAAATTCGTGTGATGTAAATTGAAATTTGCTACTTGTGGAGTAAACACGTTTTAGTATACCCTGATTTTGAGGTTAAAAAATATTTAACCCCTGGCCAATCCGATTGTTCAGTGAACTTTGTCCTACCTTTCAGAAAATCAGTCAGGGTGATAATCGCTTCTTCTGTGGTTTGAGTTAGGTTACTGCGATTGCTCTTACCTCGTGAAACTTGGTGGTGGACCAATGTGCCCCATGGTCCAATGTGCCCCACTCTCCCCTACGCTTTAGCGAATTCGAACTTTTTAACGTGCACCTGCTTAAGACGATATCTCAAACGGTTTACGAGATATTGTCGAAAAACTGCAATAGCCAATCTTGGGCCATTGGAAAACGAGGACTTCTTGTGACCAATGCGTACCTTATCGTATTGGTACATCATGTTGTTGACGTGCAGGTCGTTGTGTATGATGGTGTATCCAGGGCCAGCCAGCGGCCCCATTAGCGCAATACTATCCTCCTTGAAAGCCCCGAAAAGCTTCTTGAGTCTCGTCTGGATGTCGCTGCCTTCTGGGAACTTGTCCTGTACCACATCTGAGGGTTGCAATTTAAGTATTAGTCGTTTACCAAATTCTACTCCTTCCGCCTTTTTAAACGGGGGCCGCGTCTGCCTAACAGCTAACTAGTCAACTATTGTAGTCCGCTCTACAAACGCGCGTGCCATGGCACCCTCGTTCAAAGAAGTACACAGACTAGGTCGTTATAATGCAAAAAGACGCCATGCAAAAAGGGGCATCAAAAATTTAAAGGGTGTCATTTAAGTGTGTCACTGAGGGGTGTCAGTCAATCTTCCTAACAGTAGGTTCGTTCTGCAGTTATAAAGAACTGTTTGCGTTTTTTCGGGAAAAGACGTGGGGGGTTGGGGGGCACACTCTTGGGGATGGTGTAAAACTCTGTCATACATACGTGGGACTTGGACCATGGCTGAGTTGTACGGTTTCATGTTCGCTCTCAGCTCCACTGTGTCCCAGATGTTTAAATTTAGCCTTTTCTTTATCTCTTCGAAATGATCTGGTTTGAGGTGCTTCAATGCTAAGCCAGCGCCGTGGAAGCGGGCGAGCTGCTTCAGAGCCAAACGGCAGTGTGCTTCGTCCATAAAGACGCTGCGGTCCGCCATGACGAAGCCCTCGGGACGCATGTCTAACAGCACCAACGTGTGGGGTGGTGGGCCTTGGACGTCGGCAAATTCACACCTGAAATAGGAAATTCCTTACAGTTTTACGCAATTGACAGAACTTCAGGGCCTGCCAAACTCTTAAGTGGAGAGGGACAATTTTTTTATCAATCAAGGTTGATACGTCCTTGTGCGCATGTTCATCAGATACAAATTTGACTTTAAGGGGGTAAAATTGCACCTAGGCTAGGTACCAATGCTACATTTTATATTTAACTCAAATGCTCATTTGATTTAAATGTGCACAAGAAAACATCTAGCCTCCGTACAAAAAATTGTGCCTCGCCATTTTGTGTGCCCGCGTATTTTTGCCAATGTAGTTCGGTGCGTACTGCTCATCAATCAATTTCTAACGCGACCACCATTCGTTTGTAAAAGTAATTTCTAGATCAGAACCTTTCATTTCGTATTTAAGATGTTAATAATCTTGTTCGCGATGTATATATCGGCTCCCAACCTCGCAGGGAGTTGCCATGACAGTTGTCACACGGTACACTAATAAACCAATAACGCAACCGTATATAACGTGTGCGCAGTGTTAAACGAAACTTATTCAACTTCATGACGTACCTAGGCCACGGCAAGGGATCAGTTAGGTGGGCAATGTTTTCCATAGCTGGTAGCAATACTTCGTATGTGTATGCCTCTATTTGGTACATTCTTGACAT